AAATTAATTCTGAGAAAAAGAAAGGAATTAACTGTGGTCACCTCTAGTAATCCCTAACAGCCAGATTTGGAAGCATACCCACTTCTGGGCAATTTACAACACCCGGTGGATATCTCACACTATATACAAAATCAACTCAAAATGGATCAAGGATCTAACTATAATAGTTAAAACTACCAAACTCTACGAAAACACAGGCCGGGTGTGGTGGCTCATGTCTGTAATCCCAGCACTTTGGGAGACCAAGGCAGGTGGATCACGAGGTCAGGAGATTGAGACCATCCTGGTCAATATGGTGAAACCCTGTCTCTACTAAAAATACAAAAATTAGCCAGGCGTGGTGATGGGCGCCTGTAGTCCCAGCTACTCAGGAGGCTGAGGCAGGAGAATTGCTTGAATACAGGAGGCAGAGGCTGCAGTGAGGCAAGATTACGCCACTACACTCCAGCCTGGGCGACAGAGCGAGATTCCGTCTCAAAAAAAAACAAAAGAAAGAAAGAAAACACAGGCCGGGCACGGTGGCTCACGTCTGTAATCCCAGTACTTTGGGAGGCTGAGACAGGCGGATCACAAGGTCAGGAGATCGAGACCATCCTGGCTAACACGGTGAAACCCCGTCTCTACTAAAAATACAAAAAACTAGCCGGGCGTGGGAGCGGGCGCCTGTAGTCCCAGCTACTCGGGCGGCTGAGGCAGGAGAATGGCGTGAACCCAGGAGGTGGAGCTTGCAGTGAGCCGAGATCGTGCCACTGCACTCCAGCCTGGATGACAGAGCGAGACTCCGTCTCAAAAAAAAGAAGAAAAAAAGAAAACACAGGTGTAAATCTTTGTGACCTCAGATTAGGCAATAGTTCCTTAAACATGACACCAAAACACAAGTGGCAAAAGAGAAAAATAGGAAATCGGACTTCAATGTTAAAAACTGTTGTGCACTAAAGGACACCAAAAGAAACTGAAAGACAACCCAGCAATGGAAGAAAAATTTTTGCAAATCATATATAGGAGACTTATATCTAGAATATAAAGAATTCTTACATCTCAGTAACAGAAAGATAACCTAATTTTAAAGTGGGCAAAGGATCTGAATAGACCTTTCTCCAAAGATATACCAAAAGCCAATAAGCACATGAAAAGATGCTCAACATCGTTGGTCAGCAGGGAAACACAAATCAAAATCACAAAAAAAACCTTTACATCCACTAGGATGGCTATGATAAAAAAAAAAAGATGGGCAGGCCGGGCGCAGTGGCTCACACCTGTAATCCTAGCACTTTGGGAGGCTGAGGTGGGCAAATCACTTGAAGTCAGGAGTTCAAAACCAGCCTGGCCAACATGGCGAAACCCCATCTCTACTGAAAATACAAAAAATTAGCCAGGCATGGTGGTGGACGCCTGTAATCCCATCTACTCAGGAGGCTGAGACCAGAGAATTGCTTGAACCCGGGAGGCGGAGAGGTTGCAGTGAGCTGAGATCGTGCCATTGCATTCCAGCCTGGGCGACAGAGTGAGACTCTGTCTCAAAAAATAAAAATAAAAAATACAAAAAAATGGGCAACGACACATATTGTTCAGGCTACAAAGAAAGTGGAACACACATCACTGCTAATAGGAATGTAAAATAGGCTGGTCCCACTGCAGTGGTGTTTACACCTAATCGATCAAAACCAGTTCCTTCTCCACTCCCACTGCTTCACTTGGCTAGTCTTAAAAATACATATATGAAAATTAAAAATAAAAAAATTAAAATTAAATTTAAAAAATTTTAAGGGAGGCCGGGCCCAGTGGCTCACGCCTGTAATCCCAGCACTTTGGGAGGCCAAGGTGGGGTGGATCACCTGAGGTCAGGATTTCGAGACCAGCCTGGACAACATGGTGAAACCCCGTCTCTACTAAAAATACAAAAATTAGCCGGGCATGGTGGCGGGCGCCTGTAATTCCAGCTACTCAGGAGGCTGAGGCAGGAGAATCACTTGAACCCAGGAGGCAGAGGTTGCCATGAGCTGAGACAGTGCCATTGCACTCCAGCCTGGGCAACAAGAGAGAAACTCCATCTCAGAAAAAAAAATTTATTTTTAAGAATGTGAAATAGTGTAGCCACTTTGAAAAACAATTTGGCAGCTCCTCAAAATGTTAAACATAGTTACCTTTACAACTGACCAGCAATACCTAAGAAAAATGAAAGAATATGTTGACATTAAAAACTTGTACAAGGGCCAGGTGTGGTGGCTCAAGCCTATAATCCCAACACTTTGGGAGGCTCAGGAGGGAGGATCACTTGAGCCCAGGAGTTCGAGACCAGTCTGGGCAACATAGCATGACCCAGTCTCTACAAAACAAATTTAAAAATTAGCTGGATGTGGTGATGTGGGCCTGTAGTCCCAACTCTTCTGGAGGCTGAGGTGGGAGGATCATTTGAGCCCAGGAGGTTGAAGTTGCAGTGAATTGTGATTGCGCCGCTGCACTCCAGCCTGGGTCACAGAGTGAGACCCTGTCTCAAAAAAAAAATCCAGAAGAACATTTGGGTCTTACTCTGTGGCCCAGGCTGGAGTGTAGTGGTGCAATCATAGCTCTCTGCAGATTCAAACTCCTGGCCTCAAGTGATCCTCCTGCCTTGGCCTTGAAATGAGCATGGATTACAGATGAGCCACCACACCCAGCCAGACCATTATTCATAATAGCCAAAACGTGAAAACAACCCAAATGTCCATCAACTGACAATAGAATGCTGGTTGATCCATACAATGGAGTAGTATTATTGAGCAATAAAAAGAAGTCCTGATACACGCTACAAGGATGAACCTTGAAAACATTATGCCAAGTGAAAAAAGCCAATCACAAAAGGCTGCATATTACAAGATTCCATTTAAATGAAATGTTCAGAATAGGTAAATCGAACTTTTATCACAGGCAAAGCTATGACAGGAAATAGATGAGTGGTTGTCTAGTGCTTTGGGGGGTGGAGGTGGGGGTGAGAGGAGTCAGTACTGCTAATTCATATAGAGTTACTTTTGGGGATAAAGAAACTGTTCTGAAATGGACTCTGTGGTGATGGTTGCACTATTTTGAACACACTAAAACCGTTAATTATATATTTGAAATGGGTGACTTGTAAGGCATGGAAATTATATCTTAATAAAGCTGTTTTACATATTTTACATATTTAAAAGTGCAGGTGGAGGGATGAGCCCTCAAAAGAGAAGCAGGAGTTTTGGGGGGTTCTAAATACTATGTGGTGCGTACTGAGGCATATAAATTTGTCAGATGTATGATGTAATCTTCAAGAAAGTTGATTTTAAAGAAACACCACCAGCACCAGGTGGAGAAGGCAGGAAGAAGTTACACAATGGGGTAGGCCAAGTATGGTGGCTCATGTCTAGAATCCCAGTACTGTGGGAAGCTGAGCTGGGTGGGTCACTTGAGGTCAGGAGGTCGAGACCAGCCAGGACAACATGGTGAATGCCCATCTCTACTAAAAATACAAAAATTAGCCAGACGAGCTCGCTTGAACCCAGGAGGAGAAGGTTGCAGTGAACCAAGATCATGCCAATGCACTCCAGCCTGGGTGACAGAGTGAGACTTTGTCTCAAAAAAGAAAACAAAAGAAGTAACATGGGAGGCAGTGGCAGGTGTCAAGGGCAGGCAGGGTCTCTCCTATATCCAGGATAAACTCACAGGGGACTTAGATGTCATGTGGGTCCCTAATAGCCCTCCACTTGGTTCTTGCAGCCACCCTGGTATGTGTATCATTTCATCTCAGGCCTCTTCTTCCCGACCCACCCAGCCATCCCAGCCTGGCTGCCAACCCCACCTCCTCCAGCCCCTATCACCCCATAATTGAGGCCAGGAGGCATGGGAGAGTCGCCATCTCTCGGTGCCACCTGTTGCATCTTTATAGATAACCATGGCTGGATGGGGTAGATCATGCGGTGGAGCAGCAGCTGTTCAGAGCAGTGATCAAGGCCTCCCCATCTCCACCCCTCAAGGAATCGGTTTTCTCCCATAGTCACATCAGGTGCTGAGCAGCAAGGAGCAGCCAGAAGGACACTAACATTTATTAAGCACTGTGGACTTTCACAGCACTCCCATGGAATCGATATTATTATCCCCATTCTGAAGACCAGGCAACCGAAGCTCAGTGTTTAAGGAACTCACCAAAGTCACCAACTGATAAAAGTGATGGAAGCTGGGATTCAAATCCAAGTTAACCTTCCTTCCAAGCTTACTCCATAACACGGAGGTTGTGGAAAGGGGATAAAAAGAGAGGAGAGCCAAATTCCATTTCCACCCAGCTCCTTAGGCAGAGCTTGTCAGCACAGCTCTCTCCTTCCCAGAATAGGAAGACACCCATCAGAGACAAGTCCCAGACACCAGCAGGGGTAACTCCCTGCCCCAAGGCAGCTGCAGACAGCCTTTGGCTGTAGTTACTGCTCCCAAAGAGTGTCAGAATTCCCACTCCCAAGTTCCCGGCCACTCACACAAGGTGATTGAAGTGGAAACCAGAGCCCCCACTACAATGCCCTCCTAGAGGAAATAAGGCTATGTAACTTTGTCCAAATGAGTAATGTGAAAACCTGGGGACTCCCAGGTCCTGAAAAGGGAAGAATGTGGGGCCCTTTACATTCATACTCCACTTTGTGCAGTTCTCCCTTGTCTTATGATAGGCTTATTAAGAAATTCCTCTCCCAGCAGTTCTCCTTCAAAGAGCTCTAGGCCTGGGGCTGTCAGAGGCTTAGGACTCTGCCTATTAGTCCCAGGGTCTGGATGCCCAGCAGGACACCTGGCATTCAGTGACCACTGGATTGGATAAATGAGATAGAGTGGGCAGAGTGCCACCCAATTCTTCCCCTGAAGTTTGAAGAGGTCGAGAAGTGAGGCTGTCCAACTGCAGACCCTGTTTTCTGCACCTAACCTGGCCCACCTGGCCACCTAACCTTCTCTGGCTTCCACCTACCCCTTTGCCATCCCTCCCCAGAGCCCACCCAGCCCATTTTCAGGCATACCTGGGCACATGCTGGAATAGAAGCCCTCGTTCTTCAGCATGATCAGCAGGGAGCCCCAGCCCAGGAGCACAGCAGAGAAGAAGAGGTTCTCCAGCACAGCCGTACAGGCCATCCACCAGCGCCTCCGGTACGCCTGTTGCAGCGTGGGGGCCATGCTGGCCGCGAGCCTGCACAGAAACAGAGCGCTGGGTGAAGGGCCCCCCAGTGGCCCCAGGGAGGGGTCCTGCATCATGGTGGCACCCGAGACCTCTCGGGCCAGCCCTCGAGGAGCCCCTCATGGGGGCCCCATAGAGCCCTGGGTTTCCCAGCCGGTGCCACGGAGCTGGCCCCGCGCACACTAGCAGTGCCAGGGGTGCACGCGGCACGAGGCTCCCGCTGGGCCACTATCGGAAACAAGGAAGGTCCTGTCTGCGCGCCGCAGCTTCCTGGCAGGCTGCCGGGTTCTCCCACCCAGGCCAGGGCGCGCAGGGCCGGGCTGCTGGGGAGCAAGACCGCATTTGCCCAAGCCCCCAGAGGACAGCAAGAGGCAGAGCGCGCTCTGAAGCACCGCTGGCCCATGTCCGGATTCTCGCGCCAGGAAAGACCCCTAGAAGTTGCAGGAAGAAGGGCAAGTTCCAGGCTACCCTACGACCCCATCTTCCAGTTGCCCCTCCAAGACCTCTCCTCCCCTCTGGGGCCGGGCGACAACAAGCTCTCTCCCTTTCCGTATCAGGCGACCCACGACCCTAGAGCCTCTCCGGCCAAGCCAACAGCTGCCACGTGGAGGGAGACCCAGGACGGGTTCTCCCCAGTCCCCTCCTCCCCTGCGCGCCCCTCACTCACTCCGCAGGGCGCGGGGCACCAGGCTTTGCACCTCGGAACCCACCTGCCCCCTCCAGCCCTGGGAGGGGGCTCGGACTTCGGCAGGAAGTCTGGCGGCTGCCGACTTTATAAGGGCAGCGGTGGCGGATGGGCTGGCGGGCGTGTGTGTTTACCAGAGGGAGGGAAGGAGCCCCAGCTCCCCCCGCCACGGCCGCTGCAGCCTCGGCGGGAGGATAGGGAACGCGGGCGGCGCGGGGGCGGGGAGCTACAACCGGGGTGAGACCGAGGAAAGCGGAGAGGAGAAGGGCAAGAAAGATCCAGAGCGAGGGGAGGAAGCACCAGTCACTTCTTCCAGGGGGTCTCGGTATTCTCATCTGTGAAATGGGGCTTTGGGTTCAAGCGCTCCCGGAGGTCCGCTGGAACTCTGGCAAACGCGCAGCTCTAAGCAGAGGAAGTGCAGCGAGCGGGGGCCTGGGAGGAAAAGAAGAGTCGGAGGAGTCAGAGAAAAGAAAAGGGAAGGACCTGCTTGGCAAGACTGGACACTGTGCCGCGGGACCACGGGAACAAGTAACGGGCTTTCCTTGGGGAGCCTGGCAGTGTCGGCGGGGGCCGGCCTGGGTGTCTTTCAGCGGACGCACAGACGGAGACCCTACGCCCGCCCCTCCCTGCCCACGCTGCTCACCTCCGGTCACCGGCAAATGAGCAGCCAGCAGCAGCGGACGGCTCGGGGAGCGCAACGCTTTCGCGGCGCGTCCGGAGTCCCGCTGGCCCAGCCCTGAGCCGCGCCCGCGCTGGGGTCTTCTCTGCGTGCGGGACCCGGCTGCCACGGAGCTTCAGCCTGACAGCCCGGTGGCCTCGCCTCCGCTGTCCCCTCGGAAGAAGCGGGGGAACTGGGAACCCGCCGGGGGCCAGAGGTCTGCGAAGCCGGGCTTGGAAGAAGTGGATCTGCGGAGTTGATAGTTGTATTTACACGCGTCCAGAGCTGCGCCCCGAGGTGGGGGCGGGGGCTCCCTTCCCTTCCCCTCCCCTTAGGTCGAGTTTCACGCGCACGTGACTCGCCCGCTGGTCCCGGACACTCTCCCTCTGGCACAGCCCCAGCACCTACACTTCCACCCTGGACCCCCATCTTCTCCCCCAAGCCCCCAGACTGACGTCAGGCAGCGCCCTCTGTATCGTTGTTCAAAACAAAGTGCGATTCGGCTGAAGCCGACTGACAGCGATTCAGGGCCGGCTTGGGTGGGGTTTTGAACTGTGCAGCTGGGAGCAGTGTTTTCCGAGAGGCAGAATGGCACGGGTTTCTTTGGAGTTAGTCAGATCGAGGTCTGAGTCTTGACTTTTCAACTGACTACCCCGGGTACCTAGGGCAAGTTACCTCTCTGAGCCTCAGCTTCCTCCTCCCTAAATTCGGTTAAAACGGAACCTATCTAACTGCCCAAAGGAATCAGGATTGTGATGCAGGTAAAATGCTGAGCATAGCATTTGGCATAGTAAACATAATGTTAATTGTTGCTGCTGTCATTATTTCAGAAGACCCGGTGATCGGACGCTTCCAGATCAATAATTGATTGACTCCAGGTAAATCTCTCAGCCTCCCTGAGCCTCAGTTTCTTCATCTGTAAAATAGACTACTATGGTGTGGAGTAATGAGAAGTAATCTCATTACATGTGAGTTTAATTGTGTGTTAAGAGTGCTGCTAATGCATGCTGGGCTTAATACCTAGGTGATGGATTGATAGATGCAATAAACCACCATGGCACACATTTACCTATGTAACAAGCCTGCACATTCTGCACATGTACACCAGAACTTAAAATTAAAATTAAAATTAAAAAAGAGTGATAGTGGTGACCAAGTGTGGTGGCTCATGCCTGTAATTTCAGCACTTTGGGAGGCCAAGGCAGGAGGATCGCTTGAGCTCAGGAGTTCCAGACCAACCTGGACAACATGGTGAAATCCCATCTCTACAAAAAAGAAAAAAAAATAGCCAGGCATGGTGGCGCGCACCTGCAGTCTCAGCTACCCAGCAGGCTGAGGTGGGAGGATCACTAGACCTGGAGAGATGGAGGCTGCAGTGAGCCAAGATCATGCCACTGCACTCCAGCCTGGCTGACAGAGTGAGACTCTGTCTCAAAAACAAAACAAGAGTGACTGCAGAAAGCTCCAAGAAGGCCTCTGATAAAAGGGAACCCCTGAACAGATGAGCCACCAAGCCAAGAGAGGAACTAATGGCTACCATAGACAGGGCATTTTCCAAAATAAAAATATTGTTATTAATTCCTGAAGACATCATGGTCTCACTTGAACCTCATAGCTTTTCACAGAGGGAGAAAACTGTAGGCTTGCAGCTGGAGCAAGGTTAGAGGTAGGATGCAGAGTCAGGTCGGCCTGGCATTTAAGCACGGCCCCTCCCAGAAGGAGAACGGCAAGAGCAAAGGCTTAGCGGTGGGAAAGGCACAAGGAGTTCTCGCTGGCCACAGCACACGTCAGGCTCTGACGGTTTAACTTCTTAAAATGCAGTACTGCCTCCCAGAACTTCCAGATCAAGGTCAAACTCCTCAGCTCTGCACAGGGGGCCCTAGAGTCAACTTTCTAAGCTAGGAGGGTCATGGATCCCTTTGAGAATACAAAAGACAGTGGGCGCGGTGGCAGTGGCTCATGCCTGTAATCCCAGCATTTTGGGAGGCTGAGGCAGGAGGATCACTTGAGCCCAGGAGTTCAAGACCCACCTGGTCAACATAGTGAGACCCCTATTTCTACAAAAAATTTAGCTGAGCATGGTGGCATGTGCCTGTAGTCTCAGCTACTGGGGAGGCTGAGGTAGGATGATCCCTGAGCCCAGCAGGTCAAGGCTGCAGTAAGCCAAAATCTCGCTACTGCACTTGAGCCTGGGTGACAGAGACCCTGTCTTAAAACAAACAAACAGAAAAAGAATAAAGATGTTATTGATCTACTCTCGACAAAAATGCTTGTGTGAACATGAACACACACACTCATTGACATTCACATTTCAAGATTTTCATGGACCCTTTCCATGAGACTCTAGTGGTCCATGGACCCCCATGGCTGGAACACTTGCTCTTCCTCATCCCATCCCACGTTTCCATGGGGTTGGACTGCCTGCTGCATGAGGACACAGGCCTCATTTGGTGTGCTCATTCACTGCTGTGTATCCCAGCACCCAGAACAGCACCTGCACCTAAGGGGCACTCAGCATATGTGCAATGAAGAGTCAGCCAGCTGGTTTCACACCTCCCAGTCTTTATACCTGCTATCCCTTCTTGTGGGAATGACAGATTTCCTTCATTTCTTTTTTTTTTTTTTTTTTTTTTTGACAGATTCCAGCTCTGTTGCCCAGTTTGGAGTACAGTGGCACAATCTCAGCTCACTGCAACGTCTGCCTCCAAGGTTCAAGCAATTCTCATGCCTCAGCCTCCCAAGTAACTGGGATTACAGGCACGAATCACCCCCGGGCTGATTTTTTTTTTCTATTCTTTTTTTTTTTTTTTTTTTTTTCTGAGATGGAGTCTTGCTCTGTCGCCCAGGCTGGAGTGCAGTGGCCGGATCTCAGCTCACTGCAAGCTCCGCCTCCTGGGTTTACGCCATTGTCCTGCCTCAGCCTCCCGAGTAGCTGGGACTGCAGGCGCCCGCCACCGCGCCCGGCTAGTTTTTTGTATTTTTTAGTAGAGACGGGGTTTCACCGGGTTAGCCAGGATGGTCTCAATCTTCTGACCTTGTGATCCGCCCGTCTTGGTCTCCCAAAGTGCTGGGATTACAGGTGTGAGCCACCGCGCCCGGCCGGTTTTGTTTGTTTTTAATGAAGGCGAGAGTTATCATCAGGTTTTTGTGTTTAATTAATGGAGGATATACTGGAAAGGACAGAAACCTTAAAGCAGTAGGAGACCACCATAATAGTTCACATTTTGCAGCCATAAAAAGGAATGATGCCAGGCATGGTGGTTCATGCCTATAATCTTAGCACTTTGGGAGGTGGAGGCGGGCAGATCACTTGAGGTCAGGAGTTGGAGACCAGCCTTACCAACATGGAGAAACCCCGTCTCTACTAAAAATACAAAATTATCCGGGCGTGGCAGTACATGCCTGTAATCCCAGCTACTGAGGAGGCTGAGGCAGGAGAATCGCTTGAATCTGGGAGGCAGAGGTTGCGGTGAGCAGAGATGGTGCCATTGCACTCCAGCCTGGGCAAAAAGAGCGAAACTCTGTCTCAAAAAAAATAAATAAATAATTTAAAAAAGGAAAAAGGAATGAGATCATGTTCTTTGCAGGTACATGGATGAAGCTGGAAGCCATCATCCTCAGCAAGCTAACACAGGAACAGAAAACCAAAAACACAGGAATAGAAAACCTCATGTTCTCACTCATAAGTGGGAGCTGAACATTGAAAATACATGGACACAGAGAGGGGAACCTCACACACCAGGGCCTGTTGAGGATTGGGGGGTGGCGGGTGAGGGGAGGGAACTTAGAGGATGGGACAATAGGTGCAGCAAACCACCATGGCACACGTATACATATGTGACAAACCTGCACATTCTGCACACGGATCCTGTTTTGTTTTGTTTTGTTTTTAGAATAAAGAAAAAACAAAGAAAAAGAAGAAACAAGCAAACAAAAATGATTCACATTTAAAATAATAAAAAATAGGTCGGGCATGGTGACTCAAGTCTATAATCCCAACACTTTGGGAGGCCAACGCAGGCAGATCTCTTGAGCTGAGGAGTTCAAGGCCAGCCTGGGCAATATGGCAAAACCCTGTCTCTACAAAAAGTACAAAACAAACAAACAAAATAGCCAGGAGTGGTGGTGTATGCCTGTCATCCCAGCTACTCAGGAGGCTGAGGTGGGAGAATCACTTGAGCCTGGGGGGCGGAGGTTGCAGTGAGCTGAGATCACGCCAATGCACTCCACCCGGGGCAACAGAGCAAGACTTTGTCTTTAAATAAATAAACAAAATAATAAAAAACAGAGAAGAGGAAAGAGACCTAAGATACATTTCCAAATCTGAATCAATAGGATTTATCAACCTTCTCCCCTTCCCTCAAAACGAATTCCTTCCTCAACTCTGTTCTCCTGACACTACTCATAGGTTACGTATAACAGCATTATCACATTTGCTGTCATGTGGGCTCCTGGCTAGCGGCTGCTTCACAGCTTAGTGGACAAGAACACTGAGACAGGGTGGGTCTAAATCCTGGCCCTGCAGCTGATTATTTGTGCGATTTTGTCCAAATCACTCCATCTCATGAGCCTCATTCTTCCAGTCTGTTAAGTGCTCAAAATAAAAGTATCCAATTCAATTCTGTATGTAATGAATTATTTAGCCTAACAAATAGTTATTATAAATCTTTGGGCCAGGCGCAGTGGCTCATGCCTGTAATCCCAGCACTCTGGGAGGCCAAGGCGGGTGGATCACCTGAGGTCAGGAGTTTGAGACCAGCCTGGTCAACATGGTGAAACCCCATCTCTACTAAAACTACAAAAAATTAGCCGGGTGTGGTGGCAGGTGCCTGTAATCCCAGCTACTCAGGAGGCTGGGGCAGGAGAATTGCTTGAACCCAGGAGACAGAGGTTGCAGTGAGCCAAGATCGTGCCACTGTACTCTAGCCTGAGCAACAGAGCAAGACTCCGTCTCAAAAAAGAAAAAAAAAAAAATCTGCATGAGGAATGTACATAAAATGGTGCAGCCATTTCGGAAAACAGTCTGGCAGGTCTTCAAATAGTTAAACATAGAGTTACCACTATAGCCCAGCAATTCCACTCACCCAAGAGCATTGAGAATATCTGTTAACACAAAAATGTGTACACAAGTGTTTATAGCTGTATTATTCATTAGAGCTAAAAAGTGCAAACATCCCAGTAGTCCATCAACTGATGAATGGAGAAACAAAATGTGGTATACTCATACAATGTCATATTATTTGGCCATAAAAAGGAAGTACTGATACATGCTACAACATGGATGAACCTTGATAACATTATGCTAAGTGAAAGAAACCAGACACAAAAGACCACATATTGTATGACTGCATTTATATGAAATGCCCAGAATAGGCAAATCCGTAGAGACAGAAAGTAGATTAGTGGTTGCCAGAGACTGGAGAGGGGAGATAATGGGAAATGCGGAATGACTGCTAATGGTATGGGGTTTCTTCTTGGGGTGATGAAAATGTTGTACAATTAGATAATGGTGATCATTGTAAAACTTTGTGAATATACAACACGCTGAACTGTATACTTTATTATATTTTATTTTTTTTGGAGACAAGGTCTCGCTCTGTCACCCAGGCTGGAGTGCAGTGGCAAGATCTCAGCTCACTGCAACCTCCGCCTCCCAGGCTCAAGCAATCCTCCTGCCTCAGCCTCCCGAGTACCTGGGACTACAGGCATGTGCTACCAGGCCTGGATAATTTTTGTATTTTTAGTAGAGATGGGGTTTTGCTATGTTGCCCAGGCTGATTTTGAACTCCTGGACTCAAGTGCGCCACCCACCTTGGCCTCCCAAAGTGCTAGGATTACAGGTGTGAGCCACTGCTCCCAGCCTAAATTGTATTCTTTAAAAGAGTGAATTGTATGGTGTGTGAATTATATCTCAATTTTAAAAACAACAACAACAACAACAACCTTTGCATGTGTCAGGCACTAGGGATTCAATGGTGAATAAGACACAGACCCTATCCTCAGAGAACACAGAGCCCAGGGGGAGAGAGTCACAGACAAATCAAGTGTTACATCATCTACAGGAAGCACCATGGAGGGGGGACATGGTGCCATGAGAACATATGCTTAGAGAAGGGGATTTCATCTAGACTGGG